TTTCCGTTTACAGTATACTGTTTTTAATCATTTCTTCTACACTCAATGAACTTAGTTTTTAACCCTTTACACAAGCTTCTTTATGTGGGGAGAGGGATCTGCTTCATTTTTTATTGTTTGTTTTTTCTCTCATCAGCAAATGTCTTACTCACACAAATGGAACACACAAAGAAATGTTTTGTGGGTAGTGCAGGAAATTATGTGATGCAGGAAAGTACTGTCAAAGAGGAAGAGCAAGCAGCAGTGCCTGGACCATCCAGAACTTGTGCAACAGATACAGATGGTCGGTGCTGCTCAGGGCAAGCAGTGGTGTCACAAAGCATGGCCTCCTTTTGATGTTAACTGTGAATCAATTACGTCATTTAAAATTACAACAATTAAGTATAATACTTTTCAACCTCAGCACAATCTTCTCAGCTCAGTGGTTGTCCTATTAATGCACATGTTTATATACATATACTGTATATTCAATAAATAGGTTGCTTGTGTTATTATGCTCAAACAAGAGTTGATGGTTTTAACTTATGATTTGAATTTACATGTTTGATTTTGTTTTTTTTTGTTTTATTTCAGGCTGGTTAACTATATCTCAGTGTGTGGATCATTTTCTCTTTATTCATGAAATGGAAAGTCCCTTACTTCTCAGCATGGACATCAGAAAAACTCCTTCTGAACAGGACATGGCCCTTATCTCCTTCTACAAGCGGGCAATTTTACTGACACCCAAATCGAGGTCAGAAAAAGCATTTTGTTTGGAAGCCACAGAGTGGTATCACTAACAGACGAAAATACACCAAATGGCACTGTGTTACTGCTAGGGTGAATGCAGTGAGTGCCACAGAGAGGACGGTGCCAGAAATAAAGAAAAGGTGGTCGGACTTAAAGGTGGAGAATTGCTTCACACTGCCAGAGTGTGACTGCTACTGGTGGGGACCAGGGCACACACAAGCTTTCACCACTGGAGATGAGGATGGCATGATTCTCTGGTAAACCAGTTTAAGCGGCATTGTGTCGGAAAAGGAGGATGACACTGACATGACTGAGATCGCAGACACAGGATAAGCACAATTTTATTTCTATATTGAAGTACACTTGTGTAAAAGTACAATGATTATCATGTTCTGTTCCTCCAGAGTCTTTGGGAGCAGTAGGTGGCAGGGAGGCAGCTGCAGATCGTTCACAAACGCTGCATCACATCCTTGTGTATTCCCGCTCCCAGGTGATAGGCTTCCTTCCGGGGAGGGGCCAGTGGGTCAGGGTCATCTTTTTTGGGGGGTTGGAGGTCAGGAGGGAGGGGGGGACCAAATATTTGGGAAAACTGCACATGCCCTGATTAAGTGGCACACTTTGGCGGTGTAAAGAAGCCTGCCACCTGAGGCACCAAGGCACCGTCATCTGGACTTCAGGAGTCCGATGGCACGCTCCACAACTGAGTGCACTCGCGCGTACCTCATTGTCGCACGTTTGGTCGGTGCTCTGAGGACTGGAAAAAAGGGTGAGGAGCCAGTGCCTGAGGGGAGAGCAACTGTCACCTTCAGGTAATAATGGAAAGTCATACACATCAGGGTTGAATGGTAAGATTCAATACAATACATTATTAATTTAGAAGGAAGCCAGCCATCAATCACTGCACCTGCCTGCAGTCTTCTCCCCACACTGCTAATGAATGTTTATTGTGTGCACGTGTTTTCTGCTTACATACACATAATCAGTCTCTGATGGAGCCCTTATACCAATAAGAGTGCAGTCAGTTGCAGCGATTGCATTTAAGAAACTGGACAGTGCTCTCTCACAGAGTGAGGAAACCTGATATATCAACCTGTCATTTTAATAATTCCATCTAAAACCACAGCCATTAAGACACACAGGGGTGGCTGTGATATCCCCAACCTATAGAAATCAACATTATTATATTATTCGCAAAACAGGCTTTGGCAGAAAGGAAATTATATATTTATAATGATATCAAACACATACCTGTCGGCAAATTTCCAACTGTTAAGAGCCGGTTGCCAGAAACCCCAGACTGGTTAGTAATTGTTTTGGCACTGGGATGGCACGGGAACATCGGGTAGGTCTCTTTAATACTGGACCCAGTTCAGCACAGAGATCCAAGGGCACACCTCCCCGCAATCTAAATCGGCTGATTAGCCAGTCATCATTATGAACCAGGAGATCTGCGTGGTCCCTAAACATCTGTTCTCTCCTGATTCGCCTTTTGGCAAAGTCCTAATAGAGCCAGTGCATCCATCATCCGTCATTACACAAGACTGTCTCTGCAGTATGTATAGGTTTACAGCAATCTGAATAATTGATCACACCTTGCCAAATCCGCCTGAGAGCACAGTCATGTTCACTTCAGCAATTTTATACACAATATATGAAACTGCAGTCCTACTAAACCATGAAACTATTAATTAGAAATGTTCAGCAACACTGTAATGCTATTTCATTGTAATGTATGTGCATGCATAATCTGCCTGAATTTGTTTAATATCTTCTTCAATCAAAGATTCTTACGGAACAGTTATATCGCACAACCACAAATGATGCTGTCGTTTTTTAATGTGAATGATGAAGTGGATCAATAATGTGCTTCAATTCACCACCTCACATCTGCATCGGAATTTGACAGTCTCCAAAATGTTTGTATGCATGAATCAGAGTTAGCATACAATTGCGCACATTCTACCATAAAATATGTTCTTATAAATCCCGACATTTGCGTGAGCAGTGGCGTGCACCCTAACTGAGAACAGGAGATGGCTTTGCCATGCTGTGAGTGAATGTTTGTGAAATTGATTTCCAAAAGTTAGAAGTGGCAATTCTTAATTATTCATTGTGTGATATATTGATTATAAATGCTCACTGCAAAATGTATCAAAAATTGGTCTGAATACATTTTGAATCAGAAGAGACTTCGATTCATGTTTTAAGAATATTTATTGACGCACAGAAAGTGATGTGATGTCATCGAGATTCGATGGGGGTGAAATGGAACGTATGTAGGTTAGGTTTCCTGAGTAGAGGTTGTTAAAACTAAACGAGATGCGTTCATTTGTGAAACAGCTATGAACTAAAGTTGAAAGGAGGTCAAGGAGTTGTGATGGTATAAACTGAGAGACAACTGATGGAAAACATACTGTATGGGAAACCACTTCAGATGGCTGACAACACAGATTGAAAGTTCAGGAGGTGACGGGATAGTTTGTTTCAGAGGAATCCAAATCTGAGATCTATGATGAGAAAAATCTTATGTTGTTGCTTTTTATAAATGACATTAAGAAAACTGTCACAGGTTTCAGTAGACAATGCTGTGTTAATCAGTGTTTTAGCTCTATAGACATTGTGGACGTAACTATCTCAGCCAGGCATTGATACAACTTTAACCTATCTGTAAAAACTTCCAATGATGACCAATGTCTTTTTGTCATTTGTGACCTGCTCATCAAGCAGTGAGTGGAGTCGTTCAGCCAGGGGATACTACAGTTCTAGTTTCAAAGGAGCTGCGTGGTCCAAAGAGTCCGAGAGGAAGAGTTTGCAACAGTATCTCCTCAGTGTTAGTGTAGGAGAACATCTGAAATATTTGGCAAAAAGTTATGTATGTGAGTATGAATGGGATGGAGATGTCATGTCTCCTGTGTTTTTAGTCCTCTTTTATAGTTTTCATTTCTATTATGGACTATGTTTTATGTTTGGAATTGTGTTTTAAGTTTTGCTCCCTGTGTCCCACTCTGTTCCTTTCTGTGTCCCACCATGTGTCCCTCTCTGTGTTCATTTCTGTGTTCCACCCTGCGCTTCACCCTGTGTCCCTCTCAGTGTCCCTCTCAGTGTACCTTTCAGTGTTTCCCTGTGTTCATCTGTTTCCTGTTTTATTTTGTAGTCTCTGCTCCTTGTATGTTTTCCCCCTGGACTTCCTGCCCTCCTCAGGTTTACCTGTTCATCCTGTGCCACCTGTCTCGAGTTTCTCATCAGTTCAGTGTGTATTTAAGTCTTTGTGCTTCCCTATGTCTTTGTCGGTTCATTGTTATAAGATGCCTTTCCATGTCCCTGTGTCGTTTTACCACTCGTCTTTGTTTCCAGTAAGTCTCTAGTGTTTCCTTGTGTCTCCCCTGTTTTTGTCTAAGAGCGCTTTGAGTTTACTGTTAATTTTGGATTTTGTTATTGTGCCCTGCCTTATTCATTAAAGGACACTTTTTGTCGAGAACCTTTTGCTCTACTTTTTGGGTCCACCTGCTCCCTTACCGTCACCCCACAAAACGTAACAGGAGAAGTGTGAGTTCATAAGTGAATGAGTGAATGAGTTGGGATAAGGGACTTAGGGAGGAAGTGTAAAAGGGACATGACAATATGGCTTCAATCACAATCATAATTACATTTCATTTAGCTGACGCTTTTATCCAAAGCGACTTCCATTAAGTGCATCAACCATGAGGGTACAAACCCAGAACAGCAAGAATCATGTAAGTACATTAACTTCAAAAAAGCCAGACGGCTCATGAATCAGGTCCAGTCTACATCCATGATATGGTTAAACCTTACACCCCAGCCTGTCCGCTCCGCTCTGCATCTGCCAACTGGCTTGCTGCTCCCTCACTTTGACACTCAACAAAATCCTGACTGTTTGCTGCCCTGACTCCCAAATGGTGAAACAAGCTCCCCATTGACATTAGGTAGCATTAAGTTTAGTTGCACTTACATGTAGAACTTTGCAGTTTGGCTTTTTTGAAGCAATTTGTACTCACACAATTCTTGTTGTATGTAATGCTCAGGTTTCCCTTCATTATCAAACACCACTGAGCTGATAAAGTGACAGTACGGCTCTTGCGTACTGAATGTAGAAATCCATTGAAGCAACACTGAATTCCTGTTTGTGAGGCAGAACTCCGTATTTCTCAAGATGTGTGAAACATACTGAGCTGGGACCAAGTGGGACACTCAAGTCATGACACTTTTATTGCAAGGTGTAATTTTTATATTCAGCTTCACTCAGACAGAAGAAAGTCAGTCATCGACTGATCCTCTGATGGGCTCTGATTTTCTGTTTGCCATTGCTATGTAGCCCTTACAGTTATTAATTATAATAATGATAATCATTTATAAAACACTTCTCAAACAAAGTTAGAAAGAACAATAATAACAGAGCAGAAAAATGTAAGGAATAAAAACTCTAAAATTGCAAGCAACCATCACATCTTAAAACTAGAATTGGGTGAAAGCAGTGAAAAATGTTTCAAGCTCTGAATCAAAGGAGGCTACTGACAGTCTGCCATATTTCCACAGGCAGGGTGTTCCAGGCACCCTGAGCTCTTATTAATGAGCTTTGTTGTTTTTGTGATGTGACAGTAAAAAGTGTCTGAAATAGCATTATATCTCGCTCAGTTCAGGCAGTTAAATACTTTGTGAATAAATCTGTAATTTTCATGAAACCACATATACAAAAGCTAATCACCAGGGCATGTCCTACCAGGATATAAACCAGTGTTGTGGTCCAGAAAGCAAAAAGATACACCGTTTTGTCACAGTAGGCCTCTGACGAAATGACATGTTGTGCCTGTGAAGCAGCCAGGTGCTCTCTGTTTGTCTTATTGCTGATGTTGCCGAGGGACAAAGTTTGAATCAGCTTCCTCACGGTCAGGTTGTTATGGATGATCCGGGTGTGGTTCAGGTTTGGAAGGCTCTGGTTCTCCAGTGGGAGGTCGAGCTTGTTGTCAGGTGCAGGTGAATCGTAGACACTGTTGTTGATTTTGCCTGGGTTGGTAATGTTCTTCTCATAGTTGGGTGGATACACTGAATAAATCTGGACACTTCCTGAGGACAGCAGGGGACAGAGTTAATGAAGGGATGGATCACAGTCAACGCATTCTCAAGTGTCACTTACCATAGAGGAACCAGATGAAGACAAACAGGAGCAGGCTGATGATGCACACAGTCCAAAGGGTACTGCGTGGCGCTGCTGGACAGAGGAGCTTTGGCAAAGCAAGCAGGCCTATCACCAGCAGGGCTGATATCCCACACACCATCACATACACCGGGATACCTGGTGCTGCTGGACACTCAAAGATGTACACTGCACCTATTTACAAAATGTTTCATTACAAATACGTAAGTAGAGTGTGATGTATCACCATATTGGAAATTTCAATCATGTTCAAAATGAACAAACAATGAAAAAAAATACAATTTAAAAAATATGTGAATTTCTAGTAAAACAGCCTTTTCAGTGGTGATTTAATAATTTAATAATGATTTCTATAATATATATATATAATATATTTTTCCTTAATGAATACCTTGACACTAAACCCCCATCCTGGGTATATTAAATTATATATGGAATCACTGTAAAATACTATCAGTTATCAGTCCTCAGACTTTTTAATTGTTCATCGCAACAGTAATTACTGTATTCAGCTTTTCTCCAGTGGCTCTGTCTTTTATACCAAATAAAGAAAAATACTAAAACATCTGGGGGCATCATAGTCATTGTTTAACAGTGAGAGAGGCATGTTTTTCCATATCTGTAGATACTAATCTATTCAGCTTTTAAGGTCCAGTGTGTAAGATTTAGGTGAAAGGGATCTATTGGCAGAAACTGAATAAAAAAAAATCCTAGTGATGTTCTCACTAGTGCTTAATTATCTAAATTGTATGAATTGTAGTTTTATATTTAAATACCTTATATTTACATTGAGGGGGTCCTCTCTACGGAGGCCACCATGTTTTTTACAGTCCTCTAAACTGGACAAACGAAACACCTTTTGAGTGTTTATGACACAAGTTCAATTTCATGTTTAGAAGGGGAGGGTGAGGTGAGGGGTATTCAGCTGCAACATGCAAATTCACCACTAAATTCTAGACACTGAACCTTCAATGGAGTGGAAATTTCAGTTCGACTAATCTTCATTAAAATTTTGTATTATTGCACAGATAACAAAAATGTATACGACGTGTATGCAGAGTTTCACTGAATATGAGATGTGGTTGCCCATTAAAAATGTTGAAACATGTTGAGCAGGAAAAAAGATTCTAAAACATTAAAACACCCTGCCACGGTTCAAGGTTTTTATAACTGTAAGGTTCTCAAAATGTTCATTTATGAACGGAAAAGAGTGGCACACTTACCTAGGGTGATCTGGGCAGCTGGAAAAGCTGTTGCAAAGAGAAAGGAGGAGATAGAGAAGATTCATATTCCTTCTTTATTACTCTGTCTCATTCTTTGCTTATTTTTTGCATTTACGTACCGGCAATAAAAACACTTGCAAAGAGCAAGCCACATATATAGATCCCCAAGTCCCCTGCCATCCTGACTCAGTTATCTGAGGTAAAAATAAATAAAGACATTAGCACAGGTAAACACCGTTTAGTGAAACACTGATAAGAGGTACATTTTAGGAGGGAGAGTAGCTTACCGTCGGGCTTGTGCTCAGTCTGTGAGACAACAGTTTGGGTTGTTAGCCAATATAACATGTCCCAACTCTTCAGTGTCTTCAGAGAAACACTGAAGAGTTGGAACACAATCACAACTTGATTGCATCACCTCATGATGGAACATGTAAGGAGGGATTTTCCTCTGATGACTTGATATTACATTAACATTTCACTGCAACTGTCACAGTTGCTGCAACTGTTGTTAGTTTTCATACCTAGATCCCTACCATTACTAGAATAGTGAACCACTTTGGAACGGAGGTTTGCTGTTGATAATAAAAATCATTTCACTGATCCATTAACTGAATATCAGTAATTTCATGCTGAACATGAGTCATCACATGACTGAAGCTGTGTCAGTCCACCGTTTTCTTGCTGTTAGTGGTGCTTATACGCAATACAGGTATTTACCCTGTACCCAGACAGGAAGGGCAGGGCTGCATGACGTGCACTGTGTCAGACAATAGTCTGTGTGTGTGTGTGTGTGTGTGTGTGTGTGTGTGTGTGTGTGTGTGTGTGTGTGTGTGTGTGTGTGTGTACATTAATAT